TAGCTGTATAAGGGACCTGAAATATGCATAAAATCTTAATGCTTAAATGATTTTAATATTTCCATGATTTATTTTGATTTTATTTGATTTAATTGAAATAAAAAATAAAAATAAATGGAAAAAATAAAATAAGGGCAAGTGGGAAGGATCTTTGGTCGTGGACCATGTTACAAACTCAAAACAAGTACAAAAAGTTGGGCCCATTTGACAAAAGTTGCAATTTGAGGCGTGTTTGACTTTTGGCAATTTTGCAAAAAAGGTCAACTTCACCAATGCATAACTTCTTCAATTTTGACTCTATGAAGGTGTTCTTGGACTTTTTAGAAATTTTGAGATGTCCTCTAAGAAAAAAATTTATTCTTATCCCAATTGAGTCTTCCATGTTCATGTACGAAGCTTTGACAAAAAGGGTGTTTTGTTGACTTTTCAAAGTGACCTATAATGTCAAAATTCATAACTTCTTGTGAGTGCATATTTTGAACTTGGGAACTGAAGATGAATTGTAAGGAATTGCATCCTATTCAAAATGAGCTTTAGATGGGTCATTCTTGATAAAGTATGAGAAAGTTATGTTTGGTCAAAGTTGAGTTGACTTTTCCTGCAAAACCCTAATTTAGCAACTTTTGGGTTTTGATGAATTGTGAGCAATCCTTGAGGAATCATGATCAAACCTTGATAAAATGATGAATAATACTTCAAAATTAGGATGTTGACCAAAAATCTTGAGGTTTGACTATATGTAGGCCACAGTTGACTTTTGCCCTAGCACATTCGATTTTCAGGCCTTTGAGCAATTGACTGAGCAAACTTTCTCTGCAAGACTTGAAACTTGACATGGATGATCTTGGGAACATATTATGGCAATGGTGAGCATTTGGGATCCCTTGGAATAAAGCATCTTGATGCAACATGAAACCCTAATTTGAGGTAGTCTGCCTTAGGAGAGGGTTTGTCTGGTCAACCCTTGGACTTCTTTGAGCAATTTGAGGATCTCACTTGAAATGTATTGAGAAATATGGGAGGGAAATTTTTTGGGTACAACGCATCCCTTCCTGATTCTTTTTCACAAATCCAAGAGGTTGTGACATTAACTTCTTCCTGTAATGGACCGTTCATAAATGCAAACTTCACATTCAGATGCATCAAAGACCAATTTCTATTTGTAGCTAAAGCAATCACCGGTCTGATTGTTTCATGCCTAGCTACAGACGCAAATACCTCAAAATAATCTAGCCCAGGTTTCTGAAGAAAACCTCTAGCTACTAATCTAGCTTTGTGCTTGCCAATTGAACCATCTGGCTTAAGTTTCAACTTAAAACCCCATCTGATACTGATGGATTTTTTCTTATCTGGAAGTTTAGTCAGTTTCCATGTTTTGTTCCTTTCTATTGCCTCAAGTTCTTCTTTCATGGCATTCAGCCATTCTTTCTTCTTGAGAGCTTCTTCAATGCCCACTAGTTCAGAATCTACTAACATGGCACACTAAATGACTTCCCCTTCATAGTCAACTTCGTTATCCTGCAACATGTCAAAATCTGCAAACCTGCTTGGTTTTTGTCTGATTCTCTGTGGTCTCTGAGTTTATTCTGAAGCTGCACCAGAACTACTACCTTCATAGTTACCACCTTCATAGTTTTCCCTTCCAGAGCTATGATCACCACTAGATTCTGGATCATCATCAGCATCTGGATCAGAATCAGATCCATTGTCAGAATCTTCTTCTGACTCATCTTCAGAATCTTCAGAATCAGATTCATCTTCTGAACTTTCTAAAACATTTTCAGATGCTAACTCTGGTGTTGGCAATACACCAGAATCTGATTGGGACTTATCCCAATCCCATGTTTCAGATTCTTTCACCACAACATCTCTGCTGATTTCAACTTTATTAGTTTCTAGACAATAAAGCTTATACGCACCTGTACTGTGATACCCCACTAACAACATTACTTTGCTTCTATCATCCAGTTTCTGTCTTCTAGCTTCTGGAACGTGTTTGTAAAAGACAGAGTCAAACACCTTCAGATGACTGACACTCTGCTTATCTCCAGTCCATTTTTCTAAAGGAACAACTTCCTTTAGCTTCTTCGTTGGACACCTGTTTAGAATATATGCTGATGTGGCAACAACTTCTCCCCATAGCACGCGGGGTAGCTTTTTCTCTTTCAGCATGCTTTTAGTCATATCAAGCAAAGTTTTGTTTCTTCTTTTAGCTAGACCGTTATTATGAGGAGTATATAGAGCAATAACCTCATGTTCTATTCCACTCTCCTCAAAGAACTTCTGAAACTCTGCAGAGTTATACTCACCTCCACCATCTGTTCTCAGAATCTTCAAATTCTGATCACTCTGCTTCTCAACCTTCACTTTGAACTTCTGAAACTCAGTAAACACTTTATGCTTGAACTTATGCGTGTTACCTATGTCATTCTTGTAAACTCATCCATAAAAGACACAAAATATTTATTTCCTCCAAGTGAAGGTACTGGAAATGGTCCACACACATCAGAATGTACTACTCCCAGAGCATGCTTCGCTCTGGAGGCTACTTCTGATGCAAATGGAAATCTGGGTTGCTTGCCTTTCATGCATATCTCACATGACTTCTCAGGCTTCACAATCTTTGAAATACCATGTACAAGCTTCTTAGAACATAGATGCTCTAGGCTTTTATAGTTCAAATGCCCCAATCTCTTATGCCACAACTTACTGTCACCTTCAGCGCCTTCTGCACTAAGACATGTTGCTTCAGCTGTTTCTACATTCACCTTGAAAGTTTTGTTGCTTCCTTGTTCAGACTTCATAATCAACTTCTGATTGGAATCATACAACGTCAGGAGATTGTTTTTCATAACAACTGAGAAACCTTTCTCAATCAACTGACCCACGCTCATCAGATTTCTTCTAATACCAGGAACATACCAAACATCTTTGATCAGAATGTATTTCCCATTCTTCACTCTAACTCTGACATCTCCCATACCTTCTACATTAAGATACTTATCGTCAGCACATCCGATCTTTGTTCTCCTTCTGGAGTCAAAGTCAGTCAGCCATTGTTTGTTTCCAGTTAAGTGATTTGAACAACCAATGTCCATATACCACCAATCTTCTGAGCATTTTCCATCATAATCAGAAGCCATTAGTAACAATGGTTCATCATCAGAGTTTCTCTTAGCCATATACGCTTCTTCTGATTTCCTTTCCTTGTTTGACCTACAATCTCTGGCAAAATTGCCAAATTATTTACAAGAGTAACATTGAACCTTCCTTTTGTCATACCTCTCATTACCTTTATGATATCTCTTATCATCAGAAGTTGAGTTTCCTGACTTCTGGAATCTATCACCACGTCTATTCTGCTTCTGGTCTTTCTTGACAAAAGAAGCCTTCAGAGCTTGCTAAACTCCCCTCTCAGAAGTTCTCTCAGACAGACGTAACTCATGTGCTTCTAAGCTGCTTTGTAATTCTTCTATTCTCATGGTTTCCAGATCTTTAGAATGTTCAATAGAAACAACAATGTAATCAAACTGAGGGGTAAGCGACCTCAGAATCTTCTCTATGATTACCTGTTCAGACAGAGTTTCTCCACATGCCTTCATCTCGTTAGTGATCAGAATCACTCTGGAGATATATTCAGAAACTTTCTCACTGCTCTTCATGTTCAAGTTCTCATATTGCTTTCTCAGGGATTCAAGCTTCACCTTCTTTACTGATGCATCACCACCGTAACATCTCACCAGTAAATCTCACGCTCCTTTTGACGTTGTTGAATCAGCAATCTTCTCGAACACACTTTCATCCACACACTGATGGATATAGAACAGAGCTTTTTGGTCCCTCTTCCTCATCAGCCTCTCAGCAGTTCTCTGTTCTTCAGTTGCATCTGCTGCAGCTGGTACATAACCATCTGTAACCAAATCTAGAACATCTTGCGCAGCAAACATCACACGCATTTGTATCATCCATCTGTTCCAGTTTTTGCCATTAAAAACTGGGAGTTTGGTGTTCAAACTACTGCCTCCACTCATTTTAAACCTTGCACAGATTTTTTAGATCTTCACACACACTGTTTCACAACCCACATAATCAGATTCTGTTCAGATTTTGTTCAAGATTACAACAGAAAATCAAAGAATCAAAATCAAACACACAGCTCACAATCACCCGTGTTTCCCAGGAAAAACAGAACCAAGTGCTCTGATACCAATTTGTTAGTGCAAGAGAATGAAGTGAGAGAAGAAGAATGAACAAAATGATAACAAGACTACTGTTGTACTATAAAATAGAGGAGATAGAATTGGGTACAATATTGATAGGCTAGTATAGCATATTTATACTAAATATTGAAAATGTCAAAAGACCCTATTAAAGAATAAACATTGGGAATTGTAGATATTAACTAAATTATATTTCCAATAGTGTGTTAGAAGACATAATTCATAGTTTCATTAAGTAGTTTATGTTCAACAAAGTTGTGTAACCTAGTCGAAGTAACTGTAGAGTCATTTATATTTGACAAATTCAAATACAACGTATAACTGTTAAATCGAAACGTAATTTCATATGTTTTAGACTTAAGCATTGATTGCCTATAAATAGGCATATTATGTTGTAAATAAAATTAAGCAACTTCAAAATAATATTTTCCTTTTTAACATTTTTCTCTCTTTTCTCTCTTTCTTTTTCTTAGATAGGTAGTTCATTACAACACATGGATAATTTTAAAAAGACCTTAGTCCACAACTTTTCCCCATAATTTCTTGAGTTGTTAAAAAAACTTTTTTTTAAAATTATTTTTAAATACTAATCCAACAATCAGCTGACTAGTACTACCTCTTTTGTAAGTTGAAATCAATTTCCCCACTTCAAACTGAAAACAACAGTCTGATACAAATTCAGCTATATTACTGCAAAGTGGATGGACACAGACAGTGGTATCTATTTAAGGGATTGGATTGGACTCAATCATTCAACAAGTATTATTCAACAAAATAGCTATGCAAGCAACCTCACTTCCGGTTCCTTCTGTTCAAGAGTTAGTGAAGCAAACCATTACTAAAGTTCCAGAACGATATGTTCATTCAAATCAAGACCCTATTGTTCTATCTAACACAAATTTTCTACCACAAGTTCCTGTCATCGACTACATACTTATCAAATCAATATTCATATCCAGAATCAAGACATGTTTTTTATGATACATAAATTTTGTGTTTACGTTTTATATCTATTGGCAGATCATTACGAATGGAATTTACCGAAGCATCGAGCATCGAGCAATAGTGAATTCAAAGAAGGAGAGGATATCTATTGCTACATTTCATAGGCTTAATATGAGCAGAGTTATAGGTCCAATACCATGCCTTATTACTCCTGAAAGACCTGCATTGTTCAAAACAATTGGTGTGGCTGATTTCTTTAATGGATACCTGTCACGCAAGCTAGAAGGGAAATCATATTTGGATGCTTTAAGGATTAAAAATGAGATTGGTAAATAGTTTAAGTGTTAAGGATTTGCTTTAAGAGAATATTAAAATGCAGAACAAGTACAAAGAAAAGTAATGGAACAAACAGAGATAATGTGCAACAACTGTGACAATGAGTATGTATGTACTCACTCTTTAAAGTTTCATGCATGGAACATCGAATATATGTGTAAATAAATTATTGTTCTCTACTATTTGCATATGATGTTGATGAAAAAGTTACTATAGTGTGGCCTTAAGCAAATATTTTTGTATTGATCTTCTGGGAAAAAGGTTATGTATGAATGAAAGTTAATATGTGAAGATTTTGGATTGCCAATGGATTTAAATTTTGGCATATTAGCCGGTAGTTTGGAATCTTTCTAAGTGATATTTTTCTAGAATTTGATAAATTTTTGGATCATATAATTTTTTTCAATATAGACTCCCTCCTAAATGCATGTTTGGAAACTCACTAGTCATGGGAAATATATTTTCATTTTTCTGACACTTCTTCTTTGTTGTACCCTCTTTTTGTGACTCTGGTTCCATAATTAGTTGAGATTTCTGATGTGCTAGATAAAAGAGTGGTCGTTAGAATTCATAGGTTGACCAAACATTTAAGGAGTACTTTTGTGAAGAAAGTTGAGTTAGAAATTTGGAAATTAGAGGATATAGAGAAAAGGGATAGGACTTAGAAGCAAGTCCAATCGACAAGGGATTCTCATCGATGTTGATGTTAATTTGTTCTTGGCTTAGTGGGTAGGATCAAGAAGAGTAAAGTAAGAGAATAATGCCTTATTTTTATAGCTATCCAACAAACTAGGATTTCTAAGGTCTCTCATTCTTTGGTCCATTCCTTGTGGGAAACCCAATTTGTGATTGGAGATTGTGTCCATCGGTTGGGAGTAGTGGTGGGCTTCTATCTATTTGATGTAGTTCAAAAGGTAGATATTTATTTTCTGTTTTTGCGCAGGAACAATAAACGGTTAGCTTTCTTGTAGGAATAGGGAGAGCCTCAAAGATAAATTACTGAAGTGATTTTTGGGGAATTGGGTGCAACGATAGTGATTCGTATTGACCCAAGATAGGTGTCTTGCTTATCCCTCTGGCGGGAGCCCCTCTAATAGTTTATCGTATATCTGCCTTATGTGCGTGACAACTCTCCCTTTTTCCATTCCCCAAGGATCCTTTATATAGGCTCATCCTTGGCCTAATGGTCATTAAGCCATTCTATAACGTTTGTAATCGCCAATAATAGTTTGTAACGTTCATATTCAACAAAGTGTAATGCCCCATCATTGGTTCGTAACCGCTATCTATTAAGTTCTGTAACTAAACTGGATAACCAACCAACCCGGCCTAGCACCTAGCACAACTAGGCAAGCACAACCCGACCAACAAAGTTAGGAAGCACAACTAGGTCAGCAGCTAGGCCACGGGCATTCGGCTAGGCTATAATTAGTCAGCCTCTATCACGTTAGTATTGATTGACGTATCTAGTTGTATTACTTGGCTCAGAGAATTATGAGATGTATAACAAGCCCCCCCCCCCCCCCCCCCGAGCACGAGTCTCGTTGTTGGGATGAAGTGTTCGGTCACAGAGATCCCCATAATTCTATGTACTCATACTCAATCGGTTTTTACAAGAATCTCTTCACGATTATGGATATTATATTCCCTTTTCTTTCTTTTAGTCATGGCCAGAGAAAGGGTTCCAACCTTGTAATAGGAGAAGTCATAAATTCTTAGCGGATCTTTAAAGTCATAGTTTTCTTTTACCGATTCATAATTGTTTTGTCATTTAGTCATCTTTCGAGGATACATTATGTCAATGTTAGAGATATATCCCACCCGACTTTGGTATAAGTAAAATGTTCGTTTAACCAGAAGTATGTTTTACTTTTATCTTGTGATCACTAAACTATGAATGAGAGTTTTAAATGACAACTCTCAGTCAAGACGTACTCATATCATTTTATGTTTCTTGTCAAACCTTATTGCTTTGCCAATTGCACTTGCCTCTTTCGAGATCTATATCTTAAAAAGATTGTGGGATAAAGCCTTTTTTTGTTGACAATTGATTATCTTGGACAAGTATCCCTAAGTAATTTCATGTTTGTTTATTCCGAATTTTGTATCGATTGATTTTCAATTGCACAAGCTATAGACTTCTAGAGCCCCTTGGATTTTAACCGAGTACATATTTCGGTTTGGTTCAAATATTCTGGGGTGTATATTAAGCCTCCCCTCATATTATTATGCATGTGACTTTCTTCCCTCCGGGTTTTGTAATGATCAACTCTTTGCCTTTTGTGGCTTTACGCTGATGTTGTTTGATTTCATTAATCTTCTTGTTTTTCTACTTTTAACCATAACAATTTTGAAAATAATCTTGCGCATATACCCAAGTCCCTCAGGCACGAAGTCCGTAGGATTTTTAGTGTCTGATCATTGAATGTCGGGTATTATTTTCGGTTGTTTCATCTACTAGCTTTGAACCTTTCTGTTATCTTTGCTTTAAGATTTCATTATAGGCTACGCTTCTCAGATTCAAAGCGGCATACTCGGGTTCGATGTACCAAGGAATCTGTTTATTTTAGACTTGAGAGCCCCAAGCAGGTATTTCTTCACAACGCTCAATTACCGAGTCCTTAGTTTTACTAGGTTGATTATAGTTTAGTAAGCCCCAAGCCATTGAGGTCGGGTTCATATGCCCTAGTGACCAGAATAGTTATTTCATGTAATTAGTATTTCTAAGAGTCGGATAGACTTTGGTCAATTGCTCCGAGGTTTGACATTATATAAGCCTGTAGAGGTGAAATGCTTTAAGTAAGACTTACTCCGACCATTTTTGCTTTTTGTTTAGTCTTTGGGTTTTGTATTTGAAAAACTTTGCCCTTTGTGGATTTTATAATTATGTTGCCCATCTTGTTTGATCTTTTAGCTTTTAATGACACAACTTTAAAATAATCAAGTGTATGTACTTGAGCCCCTCGGGAACAAAGTCCATGGGGCTTTATGTGTCTGATCATGTAAATCAGGCATTATTTTAAGCTCGAGTGATCCTTTATTTTGTATTTTTCCAAACATTTTGCAGCCCCAAGCCTTTGTGAGGTTGGGTGATCATTTACTTGTTAATTTTTCGGTCCAATAAGCCCCAAGCAAACTTGCCATGTCTTTGGAATCACCTCAATGAGTTCTACTCGTCTTGTTTGATAAGGTAAGCTTTTAACCTATATCGTGACTGCGATACGTCTTTAAATGAAGAGGTGGCGGACAGATGCCCTAAGGTGTAACTGACTTTAGTGGTTCAGAGCCCCTTTTTGCCAAAGGCGAGGTTGGCCGAGTAGGTGCAGAGCCCCTTTGTCGAAGGCGAGGTTGACCTCGTTATGGTTCAGAGCGCCTTTTTCCAGAGACGAGGTTGACCGAGTAGGTGCAGAGCCTCTTTGTCAAAGGCGAGGTTGACCTTGTTATGATTCAGAGCCCCTTTTACCAGAGACGAGGTTGACCGAGTAGGTGCAGAGCCCCTTTGTCAAAGGCGAGGTTGACCTCGCTATGGTTTAGAGCCTCTTTTGGTACAGACGAGGTTAACCGAGTAGGTGCAGAGCCCCTTTGTCAAAGGCAAGGTTGACCTCGTTATGGTTCAGAACCCCTTTTTCCAGAGATAAGGTTGACCGAGTAAGTGCAGAGCCCTTTTGTCAAAGGCGAAGTTGACCTCATTATGGTTCAGAGCCCCTTTTGCTAGAGACAAGGTTGACCGAGTAGGTGCAGAGCCCCTTTATCAAAGGTGAGGTTGACCTCGTTATGGTTCAGAGCCTCTTTTACCATAGACGAGGTTGACCGAGTAGGTATAGAGCCCTTTTGTCAAAGGCGAGGTTGACCTCGTTGGTTCAGAGTACCTTTTGCCAAAGACGGGGTTGACCGAGTAGGTGCGGAGCCCCTTTGTCAAAGGCGAGGTTGACCTCGTTATGGTTCAGAGCCTCTTTTTCCAGAGACGAGTTTGACCGAGTAGATGTAGAGCCCCTTTGTCAAAGGCGAGGTTGACCTCATTATGGTTCAAAACCTCTTTCGCTAGAGACAAGGTTGACCGAGTAGGTGCAAAGCCCCTTTGTCAAAGGTGAGGTTGACCTCGTATGGTTCAGAGCCCATTTGTCAAAGGCGAGGTTGACCTCGTAGGTGCAGAGCTCCTTTGTCAAAGGCAAGGTTGAGACCTCGTCTGGTTCAGAGTCCCTTTTTCCAGAGACGAGGTTGACCGAGTAAGTGCAAAGCCCCTTTGTCAAAGGAGAATTTGACCTCATTATGGTTTAGAGTCTCTTTTTCCAGAGGCAAGGTTGATCGAGTAGGTGCAGAACCCTTTTGTCAAAGGCGAGGTTGACCTCGTTATGGTTCATATTCTCTTTTTCCAGAGACGAGGTTGCCCGAGTAGGTGCAGAGTCCCTTTGTCAAAGGCGAGGTTGACCTCGTTATGATTCAGAATCCCTTTTGCAAGAGACGAGGTTGACCGAGTAGGTGCGGAGCCCCTTTGTCAAAGGCGAGATTGACCTCGTTATGGTTCAGAGCCCCTTTTGCCAAAGACAAGGTTGACCGAGTAGGTGCAGAACCCCTTTGTCAAAGGCGAGGTTGACCTCGTTATAGTTCAAGGTCCCTTTTGTTAGAGACAAGTTTGACCGAGTAAGTGCAGAGTCCATTTGTCAAAGGCGAGGTTGACCAAGTTTTAGGCCGAGTGTTCATACCTGTACTATCCGACCACAATCGATTACATATTTTTTACATATTGTTACAAATCTCACATAACTTTGAGACTAACAAGAGTAGGGTGTCTCCTACCCACGTAGGGGAGAAGGACGACACCGATTGCTTTAAAGTAATTCTAACGAGTTCTTTACATAATTACAAAAACGATAGAAACTGTATCTCGCATTTTCAATAAGCGAAATCATAACTAGACATATGTCCTCGTTCTCGGCCCTGGCTTTTGTTGTCTTTTGACTTGTGTCATCTTGATTTTTTTTCTTAGCATAATATTTGTCATGTTCTCCTTGAGAGCTTACTTTCTTCAATATAGGATCTTCCTACGTTCTGAGCTTCTTCTATCTTATTTACAAGTTAAAAAAACAAAGGTGTAGTGACTCCCGCCCACGCAGGGGTAAGGATGACACTTATTACTAAATGAGTCTAAATAGGTTATTTACAAAGCAACAAAGATCATTACTCGTTCTTATACAATAATAGAGATAATTTTATAATACAAGTTTGTATTTTGCTAGGTTTTACTAGCTTATAACCGGGCTCTCTATGCGTAATCGGGATGTCTATATAATTCTCCCAAACGTGAGGCTTTGTTAGAACAAGATGAAACGCTTGAACTTTGAACCATCCTGGCTAAGAAGGACTCAGCTTCTTGATCTTTGTAAGAGATCTTGCTTGATACATTCATACTTTAAGATAGTTTCGATCACTCATCTCTAGTCATGACGTGACACATCTCGCCTCTTTATCAACGACTATTAGATCGGCCTCGTCCGCCAAATTATTTCGCCGGGTCATGAAAATAATAAATCAATGTATGAAATTAGTTATAAATAATATGTAGTATTTTGTCAATAAAATAACCTTTTTGTGCGTTTTCAAAGGCTGGGCCTAAGCATGGTCCCATTCGTACTCCTTTTAAGTTGGACTATTTACAAAATGTCATGCTGATGGCCTACTGTTACGTGTGTGTGTAGTAACTTCGCCATATTACTTTGACCTCCTATTAATTTGGCCAAGACTATGTAAAGTAACCAAGACTTTTTGATTTTGGCCACGCACAGCGATATAGTATACCGCCTGTTATGATTGATGATGCAAATCTTAGAAATAAAAGACAGGTTAAGATATGGATAAGAGATGTGTTACTTTACAATGTAATAATTGCTTGGTTTAGTTTCCTACCTGGTCATACTATTCAACATAGATCAAACGTAAAAATAGATAAACACAAGTTAATACCATATAGCACCTTTAAATCCAGCGCTGTTCAAAATATAACAACATGGTTCCCTTTGAATAGAAAAACGTTCCAAACTCAAATAACACTTTCCCATGGAATCATTTTTACAAAGGTTGATAAAAACCATGTCCCGGATACCCAGACTACATGTACTCCCGGGTAATCTGTATGATTAACAAGTTTAGGAAATCATTCACGTAAACACATTTTACTGTAATTAAGTCATCAAATATTGTAAGCATAACTTGTTGTAAGGGAATACACTTATCTTTGAATGTCGGTGTTAGAACCGTGATCTTGTTTTATCATTCGTTTCCTGATATATAACTGGCCACCGATGACTAACGGAACAGCCACAATCATTTGAAGCATTGATCGAATCTGTAACTTCAGGAGACATCAAAGGATGGCGCAGTAGCTCAGATCATTTCTGATGCTTCTTCTCCTGCTATATGTTACGTGTGGACTGTTGCTCGCGTTCCGATTCGATTCAGCCCCTTAATGTATAATATGCGTTAATTTAATTAATTATTTAATTAAATTAATTACGGTTTAATAGTTGAAAATATTGCTGAAATTGTTAAAGTTGTGAAATATCGAGAAATATTGATTCAAGTTGCTAAGATGTTATTTGATTGATATTTAATTGATTAGTTGATTAATATTAGCAATAATATTAATATAGATATTAGAATAATATAAGATTTATTAGTTGAACTCATTATTTGGTCGTATGAAGTAATATGTGGGGTGTGAAAGGGAGGTCCAATAAGAATATTAATAATTATAAGGTTAAGTTAATTATGAGGATTAGGTTAATTAGAAGGAATAAGGATTTTGGAGATTTTGGAGAGCGAACGTAGAAGTTGCAGAATTGCAGAGAAGAGGAAAAGAGGGAAAGAGAAAAAGAGGTAAAGGTTGGAAACTTTGGCAAGGCTTGGCTCGATCGAAGAATTATAGAGCGGTCTCCAATCCAAGGTAAGGGTGGGGTTCTGACTCTATAATGGAAATTATGATGAATAGTATGTGGAAATTGGGTTGTGTAAAATCGTTGTTGTATGTGTATATTTGTTGTGGTTGATTGTTTCTGAAATTTATCAGATTTCTATGAATATGTTACTGAGAATTAATTTGTGTTGATTTAGTTGTCACGTTGATGTGGTTTCATGTTGTTGGTTCTGGAAAATCATGTTTCTGTGAAAATTGATGTTGGTGTAATGATACATATTATTCTGATGCGAGACTGTTAATCGAAGGAAAATTAAAAATAAAAAGGAATTACAGAAATTTGCGTAACCGAGGACTGGAAGCACATTGTGCCGAGGGGCACAATGTGTGTGCCGAGTGGCACAGAGATATTGGATGTGTCAAGGGGAATGAGAATGGGTGCCGACCGGCACCATGTTGGAAAAAGGAAGGTGTGCCGAGGGGCACACTACTTGTGGTGACAAGCACACTAGTTTTATATAGTTTCACAGTTTAGTCTGTTTGATAATTGATTACAGTAAGGCCCCCATATGTTATTTGAAGAACTTAGCATCCCTTGATCATGTAGTTCATATTTAATTACAGATTATTATACCTAAATAGTAGTAACAATAATAAATTAGTAGGAGAGTAATCTAGTAAGATAGTAATTACAAGTAGCAGAGCTTGTGAAATAACAGTATCAGGATGGTCTTAATAATAATAATACAGAGTAGAAATACTAGTAATTTTAGTAGAGAATTATTTAGTCGGATATAGTTGAATTGTCTGAATAATTACGCGGAATATTTGTAAAATATTACGGTTGAGACGGAGGATTGTATAAGTTGTTTTAAGGTAGAGATTAAGATGTGAATTAGTAACAGGAGGTTATTAGTAATAAAAATAGCAGTAGAGATAATTTAAGTAGCAGATAATAATAGTTTCATTAATTTAGCCGAAAACTATTAATAATACTTATCAACAGAATAATTTAGTAGAAATATTCTAGTAGGATCTTGTTAATAATATTATTGGCATGTGTATGTTGTTGTGTTGTCGTTATTAATTGTTGAAGTTGAATGTAGTGGTGAGTTATGTTGTATTGCATCTATAATTGACAATTATTAAGTTGTAGGCTTATGGCCATTGTTGATTTATATTGAGTTGTCGTGTTGTTATGATTGTCACTGTGAATTCTTGTTGGTAATGCAAAGTTGCAAGGAATTTTAAGTGATGATGAATTACCTCTATTTACTGGTAATAATGGTGATGTGTGTAACACCCCAATTTCACCCCAAGCAATTATATAAATAAATCAGAGTTATAAATTTTAATCATGCAAACGAATCGGGACGTCACAAATTCTTCTATAAAAACTCATTGCATTCATTGTGGATATATAACACTTTCAAAACATCGGATGAACCATCAGCATAACATCTTTAATTAAATCATTCAACAACTACGCAGCGGAATTCTCAATAACATCTTTAACATCAAAACAACAACTTCAAAACAGCACATATTTAATAATAATCAACTTAAAGTTCAACAACTGAAAAATTAACAATAAAAAACAGCAAGCGTTCATCCCCCCGTGTGTTACATATCAGAGCAATGACACCGACTCGAACTACCGAAGGTATACAACCTTCACTCTCGATTACCTGCACGTTACCAACATAAGGGCAACGTTCAAACAGAAGGGGTGAGATATCTAACAATATAACAAAGCGCATGATAATTAATATATTAAATTAGATCAATAACATCACCACTTCTCATCTCATAATCAACAACAATCTCAATAATAATACACATTCACAACATCAATACAACTTCTTTATGCAATCATATAATGCGACTCAATATTATACAAATGCATGTGGTACCATTGGAGCAGAACTCCTATCTCAAAAATTTGCCAATTAATAGAGGCATCAACAAGGCATAAGCCTTCATCTCAAAATTCGCTAATACAGGTCATCTCAACGAGCATAAGCTCCATCTCAAAAATACAATATATGCGACACAACCATGAATGTAATAACAACACCCAAGTTAACAACATATCAAATTAACAATATCTCAAAATTCATCCCAAATTAACAACATCTCAAAATTCATCTCAAATTAACAACATCTCAAAAGCATCTCAACGTCTCGTCTTCAATATCTCATACCATCATAATAATTCATCAAACATCATTTATTTATTATATATCATCAACACAACATCATTAATAACTTCTCACTAACAACTCAGTTGTACATTAATTTCACAGTAATTCGTACTGCTATTCTATAACTCTTACGTCATTACTGTCACTATCCTAC